GGACAATACCGCAACAGCCCATATTAAGTACAAACAGAAACTTTATTTTTTTTTTGGTGCGCATTTGCGGAATTTAAATATGGCACATCGAGCACATATTGTGCCTAACCCTTTTACATTATAATTAATTATGTTTTGATGGTACGTCATTAGAAGCTGGCAAATGTGAAAGAATACCACATTGTAACTTGTGATTTCAATTACGATTTTTTAATTAAAATTAAAAGTATATATTTTTGGTAACTGTGCATTCATAAACACATATTAAGTTCCTTCGCAAAATTAAAACTTTAAATATTCGATGCCATTAAATTTATATTAGTCGTGCATCTAATAAAAAAAATGCTTATAATTCCAAAGCTATAGGGTAAGTTTAGGCGACTTGAAGGAGATACAGAATTGAATTGTAGGTATAGCAAATTAGAGTGCAAGCTGCAGAAGGTCAGGTAAAAATTGTCGGATCGGGGGTTGAAATATTTCGAAATCCTGCATCTATATTCTGATTTAGGTTATACTGGAAAATCGGTCTCTACTTTATGTTTTGGATCAAATTTCACATATATTTATTTAATAATTTGTCAAATCAAAATACGCAAGAAACCCAATTATACTTAAACACAAGTGTGTAACTATGCGTCGTAGAAAACTTAAAAAAAAAACATCAAAATTTCATTCACATTAACATAACGGTTCAATTTGATTGATACACATCTAATTTTTCGACTAAAAGATATGATTTTTGTTTTAAATATCTTAAGCATTACGATTCCTGAATATTTTAGAAAAAATATGTACAATTAGAGGGTTATAGCCTTTCACAGCTAATACCAAATTAATAAACAGGAGCTAAAAAGGTAAAAAAGTGCTAATATTGTTTCAATACCAGTAGTAGAAGGATATTTTGGAAACAATTGTTTGGTCAACATTTGTTTGCTTTAGTGCGAAAAGGGGTTGAATAGGATTTATAAATTATTGTCGTNAGGTAAAAATTGTCGTTTCGGAGGTTGAAATATTTCGAAAACCTGCATCTATATTCTGATTTGGGTTATACTGGAAAATCGGTCTCTACTTTATATTTTGGATCAAATTTCACATATATTGATTTAATAATTTGTATGGGTTTTTAATCAAAATACGCAAGAAACCCAATTATACTTAAACACAAGTGTGTAACATCAAAATTTCATTCACATTAACATAACGGTTCAATTTGATTGATACACATCTAATTTTTCGACTAAAAAATATGATTTTTGTTTTAAATATCTTAAGCATTACGATTCCTGAATATTTTAGAAAAAATATGTACAATTAGAGGGTTATAGCCTTTCACAGCTAATACCAAATTAATAAACAGGAGCTAAAATGGTAAAAAAGTGCTAATATTGTTTCAATACCAGTAGTAGAAGGATATTTTGGAAACAATTGTTTGGTCAACATTTCTTTGCTTTAGTGCGAAAAGGGGTTGAATAGGATTTATAAATTATTGTCGTTTGAGTTAAAATTTTGTAATAATTCCAGATTAAAGTATTTTTAAAAAACTGTACGCAAAATTTTAAAATTCCATTTACATAATAATAATATGTATGTAAGAATAGAATTTATTTCGACGTAGAATACGTCTTACGTTTCGATATGGAGGCTATGCTCACATATTGTAGTTGTAATTTTTAGAGCTTCACGAAAACGTTGGTTGCATAAGAACTAATGACCAGTAGTTTTCACGTGACACCACAGCCGTCATTTTTATAAAAAGCAATTAATTGGGTTTTATCTTTGGCTTTGGACATTCAGAGGCAGATATCGCTGAACGTTAAAGTTCTTCGAAATTGTCGAACTGGTAGACACATACTAGTTTATGAACTAGTATTTTTTCTAACTGGTTTGGCTTTTCACTGCTGGGGATTGCGGGGAATTTCAGTTTGCGGGGGGAAAATTATAAGTTGAAGTGTCACAGCCGTCACCGTGGAATGAGCCGTATGAAGTTTTGTAGCTCGTTAAAACCTAGTATTTCAAATGGCTAAAAATTAGCGCTGATTTTTTAAAATAGTGTTCATAGCATTTGCAGAATAAATACAATTTATTTTATATGGAAGAAAACTGTAACACTTTCGGCAAAAGGAAATCACAAAAGAAAATTTTTAGGCACTTGAATCTTGCACTTTTTTATACTAGAACTGAGTGGGCTGAAACACTGCAAACTGATAACTTTTCCAGAAAATTTAATTAAAAAACTCGAAATGTTTTCGAAAGTTTGTTAATTTTTCTATATGTTGCTTGGATTTGAATGATTTTTTGATAAAGTATGATATGAATTTTTATAGAAAAGAAGATCACCGTCACCCGCTTCGCTGAGTGCATGAAATTTCTGCATGCTGCATTAGGTGTAATTAATTACAATAAGTCTCAACACACTTAAGCCATGCCAAAAACAGGAGCTTTAAAATTTGTTTAACCATGTTCAAATATTTTCAAGCTAAACCTCTCGCTTGTGATAAGTTTTCAATTAGCTTATACCCGGAATTCAAACATATATGTACTTACATATCGTGCATTCCATGTCAACCGGGCCACCTAAATATCTCAAAAACGGGAATTCTCAGTTTTACCAAACTTTGCGCAGACTATCTTTGACATGTGTACTTTCACCTCAAATTTCTTCAGAATTACTACTTTTTTTGTTTCAAAANGATTAAGAACTGGGCAACCCCCTTGCATGTAGTTTAGAAATAAGGCTTTTACAAAACCATTTCGATTGATGCCCCTATTGTAATCCTTGATTAAAATTATAGAATAGTTTGAATTCAACTTTCTGAACAGTTGGCAACCTTTTTACACCTCTTTCGTCTAACACCCATATTGTAATACATACAAATGCATTAAAATTACCTAATTCCTATAATTCAAGTTGAATTTGAATTTTAACATATGTGGAAACACTGCTATACTTATGTAGCTTAGAAATAAAGCCTTTTCAAGACTTTCGGTTAATACCCATATTGTAGTAACTCATTTAACTTATAATACAATTGTAATTGAATTTAGTTTTAAAACAGGTGGCAACCCTCTTCAAATACCTCAGAAGATTCTACAAGTTCAAGCTTAACATTTCTAAACACTCTTACGTTTCACACTTTAATTTGAGTGTAATTAGTTAAAATTCGACTTTTAAAATAGCTGGCAACCCTTTCCAACATATTTTCCAACTAAAACCTTATTAAGCCCCTTTGGTCTGACATCTATTCTGTAATATATATTCCAATTATCTAATTTCCTTAATTCAAGTACAATTTGAATTTTCAAGCAGGCGGCAACCATGCTTCATGCTGTTTAGAACTAAATTCCAAAAACATTTCTATTGATACCCATATTCCAGTAATTCATTTAAATTAATAGAATCTAATTTTTAATCGGGTGGCAACCCTTGTAAAATACCTCAATAATATTCTAAATGTTCAATCTGAAGATTTCTTAACAATCTTTCGTTTGAAACCTATACTTTTTCCATATAGCTTGCGAAAGCGTAATAAATCTATAATAATATTAGTAAGAATAACTCAAAATAAATAACAAAAAAATAATAATTTTGCAAACTAGTAAACATTTGGTGCGACTATTTTTTTTCGACCACTTAATGTATGTTAACATTTTTTATTATTTATTTGTTAAGAAACTTTATAAAAGTTTAGTTTGGTTTATGAATACATAGATGAATTACATTTTAAAAATAAAATAAACAAAAAGACCATAAATATATTAAAATAAATAATTTTTTTTTTAAATGAGATATCTATGGGTGGGGAATTTTACAAAATTTCAGGCAAAATTTTATTGTCCAAATCGGGGAATTTTCAAACATGAGTTGGCTACCCTGCTGCAAAGACGTATTTGATTGAAATTTTATTTACTTACTGAGCCAATAAAAATTATGCAAGGAGAGAAAAATTTTGTCCGAAAATATTTTTAGAACACCAAAAAAACATATACGAGGAAATTTAATAAGGCAGTTGTGACAATACACTTAGTTCAATATTTTTTCAGTTTTGGTATTCTTTTTAAATTAAAGCATTACTTCATTGAACCAAAATCTTCTGACGCTGAGCCTTTTTTTTCAGTTTCAAATCAGCCAATGGACGGCGGGAGTCACAAAGAAAGAATATGCTGGATTAGGTAACAGTTCGTAGCACAAGATATGAAGATCATACGAAATTCAGGAGTTTTCTACGCTCAGGAGTTTTCTACGCTCACTAACGGTCAAACAAAAAGTAATACACGAAAGCTACTCAGAATTTAAAAGTAGCCTGCCTGTTTACAAATGTTTGTTGTTAAGAGCAGTGCTGCATATAAAGTTTCTATACAAAAAAAATTCAGAATTTCACTGACTTATCAATTTTCGCGCGTACATTGTATTTAATACAACTGAAGAGTAATTGAAAATATCTCGAATTTCGAAAAAACAAGAAGCGAAGGATGAAATTTCCAATGGTCTAAAAGTGATTAATAATTTGCAAACTTATTCATTTATAAACGCAGACAATTTCATAGTGAAATTCAAATGAATAAGGGCCATTCAACGCAGACATTAAATCGCACGCACACATATTCAAAAATAATCTCATATTTGTATGTATGTATTTACACATGAGTCTGTGTAAACAAAGTTACTACGAATGTCAGCAATAACAGCTAAAAAAAAAAAAAACTGTTGAGATAGCAACAGCAGCAAATAAACCACAAAAACAAACCTTGCTGCTGCCACAAAAATTGAAAACAAGAAAAAATTAGCGTATTCCCAAAAACAACAAATATCAAGTAACATGTCAATGTGACAAAGTTAATTAAGATTGAAATCAATTTTGGCCACTGCATGCAAATGCTAACCAACTGCTCAGCTTCAGGCGAGAGCGCTTGCCAACTTGTCAGTAGCCCTGTTCGCGTACGCACTATCCAATAAAATCGAGTATTAGCTAATTTTACTGGTTTTTACTGGATGGCGTTTTCGTACGCAAAAACTTGCTCTTGCAAAAGAGAGAGAATTGAGAGAGCACAAATGACAGCTGAGCTTGCAAGTTTTATTGGAGTTTTACTGGATAAATTTTTACTAGTAACTATTTGCTAGTAAGAAAAACAGCTGATGGTATGATGCTTAATGCAATTCACATTACCAAAAGAAGGGTTTGTGGTGATCTTACAGCTGCAATTGACAAAATAAACCTATTTAAATATATAATAAGATAGGAAATACTATTTTTCTAAGAAAATTGCGTCGGACTTGCCACTTCTTGCTGGTTTTGCTTTTTCGAACTTTCTTGCATATTTCTCTCATTGGGAGTAAATATTGGCTTACTCTCCGAAATTTGGTTACTGCCAAGTTACTGGATATTTTTTGCTGGCGATTACGAAAACACAACTTACATCTGGTGGTTCAAACGTGGATGAATGCGGTCGTATGGTGGTGGCGTGCAATCAACTGGCAAGAAGTCACTCAACGCTGGCCAACGTGGCGGTGTTGGAAAACACTCCACAAATGTTGTTTTTGTTTGAAGCATAGAGCGGATGGTTTATAAACAATTTGATGAAAAGGAATGTAGCACGTTTATCGGTTGAATTTGTTTTTCTTTTCAATTTATACGTTTTTTTGTTTTATTTAATTATTCATGTAAATGTATGTGTTTATTATAAAATATGCTGTCGCCCAGTGCAATTGAAGCGTAACCAGCTAACGAATGAACTGATGGAATATTCGTCAGGCAATCCGTGAACAACTCATCATGGTACGGTGGCCTTGAACAGTAATTAGAGTTCGATTGCAATTCAAATTTGAAATAGTTTTTTTTAAATGGCGTATACTGTATTGGCTGTAAAGGACTGCAAACTACTCTAAAATTACTATTGAGAGAGTGAAAAACAGGAATTGGGGAAAAAATCCAAAACAATCTAAAACAAACACACGCACTTGTGTTTAAAAGCAGTTCGTTCGTTCTTGAGTGGATATAATTTTTTTTATGTAATTCGACATCTGAGTGGAAGCTTGACCTATTTCAGAATTCGATTCAAAAACGCCCTATCTCAGCACATTTTCAATATATTTCCATTTAAGATAGGGCATTTTTCAACCGAATTTTTGGGCTGTTTCAATAAAGTTCTGAAATAGGGCGTTCTTGAAAATTTTTCTGGGTTAGGCCGTTTTCAAACTGGCTGCCGATATAGGTCGATCTTTCACTCGAACTCTCGTTTCCTCGAAGCTGACGTTATGAAGGCTAACAGACCTCGGATTCGCATCTAGGGCGTCGAATAACATAGGAATATAGAGGTTTGGTTCAATATGCATACAATTTTTTATTGCAAACTTGTGTTATTTAAAAAAGCAGACGTCTCGGTGGCTCAGCAAACCGGTTATTCGTTTCTACAATTATTTCACTTTGATTTTCAAAAACAAATTTTCCATTTATGCTTAAGATGCATAAACCTAAAGGTAAGTTAAGAAAAAAATTAAACTGATAATTTATTAGAACCCGAAATTCGGGTGAATGCAATAAAGAAATACTTACTAATATTAAGAATTTAAATTTAAGTATATAATAAAACGTGTTGTTCATGAATATACTTCGGCATTTAGCTTAAGATATATTTGAAGAACTTCACGAAAGACAACAAGCAATCTCGTATTGCTAGAGACCTGATAACCCAGGATAATTTTTAAGTTCTTAAAGTACGTTACTCTACTCAAAGCTTCGTACAGTGGCCGTGAGAAAACAGTCATCTTTAAGGTATAGTCCAACCTTTCACAATTATTTTTTTGATTATTTTTTTTTTNAAAAATATTTTCACTCATTTTACAAGTCCAGGATGAGTTGAAGTTCGAAAGACATTCAGAAGTTGGAAAAGACACTTCCGAGAAAAAAGTTTCAGAATCCAGTTCTGTAGTTTAGGCATGTATGTCTAATTCCCTAAAACGGACTTCGGGTCAGTTTAAGCCACTTCTGGTCGAAACTGGAACTCGGTAATGCCACAAATATTTAATCATAAAGAATGGTTAAATGAACAATTGGATATTAATATCGGGAGTCTCCTGAAGAGAACCATAGTTTTCCGATCGATAAATATTGATTTTCAAGAATTCCATACCTCTTCTACGCAAAGTTGTTTTTTTTTTGCCATATAAAATACATGGATGAATTTGAGCGCTGTGAGTACTCCCTGAATATTTTTTGATTTCAACATAATAAAATAGGACTATATTTTTTCGCTTTTTCGGTGCCGCCACCCCGGCATTATAATTCCGACTTTATTATTTTGGACCACTCTAATGTACATACATGTATTTCGCCGCTTAAGATCATGCATGTGTACTATAATTGTACAAATAAATATTAAAGAGCAATGAATAGTAACAACACAAGTACACGAGTGCAAATGTATACTTAAATACCCTGTCGGAAAAGCAACCAATTTAGAAACAATTACAATGTTACTAAATAACTAAAAGTATTTGAAATTCTTAATTTATTCTTGAAACAACGGAACTTTTATGACATAACGATGTCCTAGGCAGAGATGTTAAAAATACTTTTAAAATAATATTTAAAGATAACATACAAATACGTCACAAATAAAGTATTTGAAATACAAGCACAAGCTCCTTTTACAATAATTATTTAAGTAAAAAGCATGGTACAATAATTAAAGGTATTGTCTTCCCAGAGAGCATATATTCCGATCTGCCTTATTTGAATAACATCATTGTTGCCCACACTAAAAAGTTTACTGTAAAGGAGAGGGATATTTCTATTCACCATATATCATATATGTCCACGTATGTTTTCAAATAACCTTTTTGCAGAGAACATATTCAATTTGCAAAAGCCGACTAATAAACATTTGCTTCGTAAACAAATCAAAAATTTTTATTGCTTAATTTATTTCGAACGTCTTTTTCTTTTTTATTGAAAAATTATAAAGATTAAATTGAGCGAAACCCAAAAGCAAAACCAACTAAAAGTGAAAGAATCTACATTTAAATGCGTCAAAATGAAAATAAGCGAACACGAATTTCGATATGAAGCAAAACTCTCTGGAAAGACAATACCTCTAATAATTGTACCATAAGCCATAACTAAGAAAAAACCCAAAAATTCTTTATGCATATATATCTTACAATGAAAAAGTGAAGAGAAGAAAATGAATGCTCCGACTACATAAAAAAATTTCTGTGTGTTAAAATCTAGAAAATAATGTGATTAATTATTTATTTTCCTGCTTTTCATGTGCTACGAAACAAATTTTGCAAGTTTTTATCATTTTTCCTTTGTTAGTTTAACGTTTATTAATTTTTTATAAAAGTATTGCTTATTATCTAACAAAAACTATATAAATCCAAGTTGCAATCTTTGTGCAAAAATTATAAAGATTCTGGCGCAACAAGAAATTGGTTAAAAATCGATTTCAAGATTTGAGCCAAACAAACAATAACAATATACACATACTTACATAAGGTTAAATAAAAACTTGTAACAAGAGAATCGAAGATACGGGCATTTGTTTCAAAGTAATTTATTTCCAAGCAGTTTTGTGATTGGATGATATTTCTTGCTGTCATCTTTATTCCAACAGGCTAAGCATATAAAAAGCAGTACATAAAAATAAACGCCATAAATTTACTTATTAATGGATGAATATGTATGTTTATATATATGTACATATATAAGAATAAGTACTTCTATGGACATACTTACGTCTAAGTAAATTAGGTGTAGTTTCGGGAGTATGATATGTTTGCCTGTCCTCTCATGCATGCATCTATGCAGGCAGGCAGGCAGACTTAATGAGATTTCGCTTGCACTACATACATACGTATGATGCTCTATAAGAGTACATTAGAATGGGTCGCGAAAAATTTTTTGCAATTACCAAACCTCCTTCAATTAGACTATGGATCGTTGAGTACTTTTGATATTTAATTTGAGTTCATTATTAACTACAAAAAAAAGTTACTAGCTATCCAGCCTAAGTTGCTTGCAGCCTGAGTGACGACAATATCTAGTATAGATATCAGCATTTAAAAACGGTCGAAAAGACATTTAAATTCGCTGTGATAAGCAACAATAAACTAAAAGCGATTGAGCTGCCATATTTGTTATTGGATTTGAAATTCTTAAACCTATCGTTAGGTTTAACATAAGCAGATCCAAAAAGTAAATAAATGTATAAAAAATCGCTGTATCTTTTTAATTGATTTGTTGACTGTTAGGCCTCTAAAGAAACCAATCATCGCTTACACTAGAATTTTTAAATTATGAACAATCAAATTGCATTTAATAGCGTAGAATTTGAGTTAAAAGCATTCAGTTGGCTAAGGTGATACATTGCACCAAAGGATCTTGAAATGATAGTTAGTACTCAAAAATATATTTTTAACGATTTTACGTACTTTGTAATTGAAACGTAAATAAAAATGTTAAGAAAAATTTTTAATTTTGTCTATTTTTAGGGCTCACCAAGGACGAAAATCTTTATGGCCACAACTTATCTTTTTTTTTTATTACTGGAACCAACCAATCTAATTTACATGCATACATAGTTACATATTTAACTTAGAAGGAAACATTTTGGAGCATTTTTGGAGTGGTTACAAATGTTGTGGCTTTGATGTCGTAAAGCGCCAATGTTGTGCCACACTGCTGAAGGGCAGTAAATTGTGCTGGAAATTACTACAGTCGAATTTGTTTACTAAAATTGTTTGTACTTATGTATACATGATTAAACAACGAGGAGTGTGTGTGGACACATGCATATAAAATGCAGAACATGCTACTAATTTTCGGATATATGCTGGCGGTTAGGAAGACAGGTATCTTTTCTGAAATTTTGCTGCTTGGTTTTTATTTATTTTTTATTTTATGTTCTTTTTGGTTTTATACATATTTACATATACATACCTACTTTGCTAGCGGCTTCTTAATTATTTCAACATTAGTTGTGTATACATATGTAGCTCGACGTGCGTTTTAGTAAATTTAGTTTTTTTCGTTGAAGGTATGAACTTTTCTATACATTCTTTGTTTGCTGAAATTCACACTTGTGAGCACATGTATTTTCTGAGCGAGAAATTAAATAATTTGTTATACGGGAATGTCTCAATTGTCATTTAGAAAAACGCTACAGTCTCCTTTATCCTTTAAAATATGAAAAAGTAATTTTGAAGCAAAAAACAAAACCAACTTTAATTCTGGTACATAAATTTAGGAGTACCGTTAATTTCTTAATGATCCAATGGTCCGATAAAAACAAAAATGCGGTAACATACATACATAAATAAAATGAAATGCTCCGACGATTTGATGGCCTTCTCCTTTTTTGAAGTCGGTTAAAAAAGTAATGTTTCAAGTTAAGAAAAAAAAAGAATAATGAATTTGCAAAGGGTAAATAGTAAAAATATAGGTAATTTTTTTAAACAGTCGGCAGACCAATTTCGTTTTTTTATTTATTAAGTTTTCACATTGACTCCGATAAACAAAAATTAACTTAATAATTAAACCTGAGCTATTCAAGAGCCCCTAAAAGTACCTACATTTCTTAATCAAATTTAGAAGCGCAAAAGTAAGTTTATTTTGCTCATTAATATCTGTGAAGTTGGCATAAGGAATGACGAAAAAGATTCTACAATTCTTTAAAAGGAAAATAAAGTTCCGGATATTTTGAAAAAAAAAAACTGTTTTCAAAAATTTTGTAAGCCAGATGTCACAAAAACGCAAATAAAAACTAGTAAAATAAGTAACTTTTCAATAGTTCTAGACTCAAAAGTACCTGAAAATGAAATTAAGTTCTGCAAAATTACGCCGAAAAATAATTTTTTTCAAAAATTCCAAAAAAGTTTTTTGTTTGGAAAAAAATAAAAATTAAATTTGGCATACGCATCACAAACAAAAAATGTTCTAAGTAGCTTTTGAATAAACTCTTAGTAAATCCACCCGAGCTATGTTGGCCTGTCGAAGGCTTTTCGGTCGAATATGGGGTCTATACTCTAAATTAATAGAATGGCTATACCGAACTACTATAGTCCGTCCGATTGTAACTTATGCCTCTATAGTCAAAAACGTTGCAAAAAACTACCGTTTCGTGTTGACAGGAGAAATGAGAACGTGACCAACCGCGGCCTTAGACTCGCTCCTAGGTTGGATTCCACTTCACAGTTTTGTCCAAGCAGCAGCTTTGGGCAACTGCAAGTGAAAAATTCTGACAGTACTTTTAAAAACAAGACACAACACAAAGGTATTTTGAGCAAAATACCAGGTCTAGGAATCTGCAAGTTCTACGATGCTATGCCAAAAGGAATCTGCTTTGGAAGAAAATTTTAGGTCAAAATTCCAGACCTAGATGGCTGGTCAAATGATTTACCAGAACTAGATCCCAGCTTTGTACACTGGTACACAGACGGAACAAAAAGATGGAGAGCAGAGCAGGAGCGGGTGTCTTTGTACCTGGCACCAAACTTTCTGCTGCAGTGGGTACTTGGTCAACGGTCTTTCATGCCGAAGTACTAGCAATCTCAATTTGACCGTCGACGAATTGGCAAGGGAAGGCTTATCGTCTTTACTTGTGGGGCCGGAACCGTTTTGCGGACTCAGCTGGTCCTCCTCGAGGATTAAAATAGAATCGTTGGTAAACTCGGAACACATTAAGTGCTGTGGCGGCCTTAGACAGGCAAGACTTTTGAACAGAGCCAAAATCAATTTGCTTGTTGGCTATTTGACAAGCCATAATCACCTGCGCCCTCGCATGCACCGGACTGGTATTTCCACAGAGACGAATTGCTGTCTTTGCCTTGAAGACGAAGAGATGTCGGAGCACATTATGTGTGATTGTCCGGCATTGGCCAGACTAAGACTTTTAGCTTTCATAAGGAACCTTCATAGGGATACAAGAGATCTTTTAGGTCCCGATATCCCTTTCTGTTACACCCAAAACATTTACATTACATTCCTCAAAGAAAATATACATGTAATCGTGACCTTAAATTCCTTCCTAATCAACTTCTAGTTATCTTATATTTAGATACATTTCCTGCAGGGTATATATGTGCATTAGGGCTGTGCGATTATTCGATTACTCGAGCAAGTTGGTTAATCAATTATTCGGTTAATCAGTTACTCGAGTAATCAAGATTTTGATTACTCAAAACGATGATTAATCGAGTTACTTGAAATATGATCACTCAAAAAATAATAATTTTGCTCGTTAAAAGAGTTTGCTTTGGAAAATACTTATTTCCTTCTTTACATTCTGTATATGAAACAATTTTTTGTTTTAATTTTTGAAAACCGAAACGTTGTTTTCAAAGTATCAAGGAGCTTTAACTACTTTATACATATGTAAAGAGTTGAAATGTTGATTACTCATTTTNTTTGGTTAATCAAAAATCTTGATTACTCGAGTAACTGAACTTTTGAGTAATCATAAATTCCAGTTAATCGAATAATTGAGTTTTTTACTTTATGATTAATTAAAATTTTGAGTAATCAATTAATCGCACAGCCCTAATGTACATACATACATATGTTTGCATGTGCACATATATTCACATTTTTTTCGCAGGAAAATAAGAAGCATTTAACACATTAACATTAGTTACGATTCGCTTATAATTATAATAGGTTTATTTCAAGTGAGAGATTACGTTGAGCTTGTGTATGTGATTTTATTTATAGTTTATGTATTAAGTACTAGTTCGGATTGTTGGTCCATCACAACTTTTTTATTTCTCAACAGCATATCCACTGGTTAAATGCAAACTAAAAATTTAATACATATATGCTTTAACATTATTTATGTATGCATAGTAAATTTCATATTAATTTTCAAAATAAATCTAGCTAATTTGCAATTAAATAGGTTTATCACTGCATGTACACGCTTTCAAACTAAGCTTATTACCTGCAATAAATACTGGTATTGTATGATTAAATTAATCCGGATAGTGACTGAAGTGAAGCGTTAGCCCAGCAGGAGGATATTATAAATATGTATTACAAATATAATATATGTACAATGTGTGTACATGGTTATACCTATTTAATATAACTAGTGTTCGCCCAGCGGTTGAAATTCAACCGCTAAATTTGAATAAATGTCTCAATATTTTACACACATTTTGTGCTTACATATGTATGTACATATGTATAACATAAATTTCATACATAGAAATTTACGCACAAGTAATTTACACACAAATAACACTGCTTCACAAATTAGTGTTTTTCTTTTTTGTTCTGCGAATGCACCCATCCATTGCCCATGTAGAATCGCCTGCTGATTCCGAAAATTTAAGTAATTTAGAATATTTTAATTTTATTCAGCTTAAAGCAGAAAGTGCTTCCACTTAACCACGTACATATATGTTACGAACTAATTTAACAATCTGAATATCAATAACGGAAAATGAAAGCTAAAAAAATTCTCCATAATCCGTATATGCATCACTTCTCGATAGGTCTGATATTTCCTGACAAATAAATTAATAACTCATATTATATATTTGTTTTTCTGATGAAAAAATAAATAAGAAATTATCAAACATTAAAAGGAGAGAAATTTGAAAATAACAAATGCTGTGTACATTTTTCGCAATTGTGTTAAAGCCCGTTGTGTTCAGTGTTGCCACTTTGGTGCTTATGGAGCTAAATTTAGCTCTTTATTCTTCTATTTAGCTCCGAAAATCGGGATTTATATCCCAGCTCCTTTTTTACCTCTTTTCAAAATTATCTAGCACTATTTAGCCCCAAAAAGTTTTAGTTGTTTTTGGTTATATATTAAAATTAAAAATCTGTTATTTTACTGTACAAGGTTGACTAAAATTCTTTTGTCTGTATTGTAATTTATTGCAGATAAAATAATATGGTTGAACAGGAGCCATAAATGTAAATAATAGATTTACTGTGGAAGGGCGGTACCGCAGGAAAATTGGCAAAAAATTGTGAAGTTTGCTACTTGAAAATGTTAAGACTGAGACAAAAAATATAGCCCAAAGTGTTCCCAAGGATAAAGGAGTCTGTCAAAAAATATTACGGTCCGCTATCTTGTGAACTCAGCAGCAAGTTGCGATGCAGCCACCATTACAGAAGTGCTTCAGGTATTAAACTTTAATGCAAATCAGTAGATAGCGAGGCGAATAATAGCCAAATTGAGTATATCAACGAGTGCGGTAGCATTTTGCTGTATCGCACGAAAACTGGACTGTTGCCTATTGGGATACGTTAGACCTTTCAGAATGCAATAAAAAAACACATTTTTAAGTTTCAAAGGTTATTTGGTCTGACAAGACTAAAGTAATCGCTATCAATCAGGTGACCTGGCATGGTATTGGATCAAAGACCCAAATGAAGTCCATGCGCATCATGTAAGGCAAACTGTGAATCACAGCGGTCGGTCAATAATAGTTTGGAGTTATACTATATAAAACATTTTGTTGGTCTGTTAGTATGCATTATGCGTAAGGAACAGTATCTGATCATATTTCAACAAAATTTGCAAGATGTAGTCGAAAAAATTAGAGTTTCTGCTGAAAAGATCACCCAAAATACACTGCACTTGTTCGCAAAGAAACAAAAATTTGCTTATTTGAAATGACCTCCACAATCCGCGGACATGAATCTCATCGAGAATTTGCGAAATCAACTAAAAAGCACAGCTTACTTAGTATCCAAGTCAGTAAAATCGAATAAGAATATACAACAAAAGTATGAAAGTCATTAGAACTTGGAAAGATAGCAATGGCTGAAGTAAAAAGTGTTACAACATGTTACAGTTTTGCCCGTCACTGTATATAAAATAAAGTTGTGTTAAGTTTGACCTCGGCAGGCTATCTTGCCGGGTTCCGATTGCGGAAGCTCGTATATCTGCGTGTTCGCCTCGGTGAGGAGAAGATTTATGTATATCAAAGTTAGAACAAGAAAAGGGCTGTCATCTGTTTAAAAATTAAATTAAATTTTGTTAAATGAATTACTAAAATATGGATACCAATCTAAATGTTTTTGCAAAGGCTGCAAAGGAGGGTTGCCACCTGCCTACTACATTTAGGAGGGTTGCTACCTGTTTAAAATGTCAAATTTAAGTTGATTTAAGGGGAACGATTTACTTGAGATATGGTTTAGGTAGATTACACTCGCCTTCTTTTCTTATCTCTATATGTGATATATATGTGTATTTACTACTCTTAACGCATCCTGGCTATCCGACATGATGTTAATTGTTGTCCCATCAGCCCTTCTGCGAAGACATTCGTCAGTGTCAGACTTCAATTGCGAAAATTTTCGCCTGGAATATGGTTGGGTATATACCCAAATATACCTCTTTTTGAAATCTAGGTCCATACACCCCGGTCCCAGTGTTCCTATTCTCAAGTTTGGAACCATCAGTGTACCAAACTTGAGCTCCCACATTGAACATGGCGACAATCGCTCTATAGGTATCCCTTTCAGGTGTTATTACCTTATAGATCTTAGTAAAGATCAGCTTCGGTAGCATTGAGTTTGTCAGTTTTACAGCGGTATCATTTATGACTTGTTTTAGGACACCCAAATGATCCCTTAAGTTCTCACTTTTCAGGCGACTAAAGTCGGCAGTCTCAGGGCGCTCCAGCAAGCCTCTTTTTCTATAAAGGCCAGTATGTAGCTCTCAAGAAAACGGTAAAGAAAAAATAGCCATTATTTTGTATGTGTGTCCAAAGAATTTTGACACCTGATACTTCAGAGCCCGTAATAGCCTGTTTCCTCACCCTTTTCTCAAGAAATAATGGAACAGGCATATATTTCTGTTGCAAACATGGGTTGCCTTATGCTCGTGCGCATGGCCCCCATTATGGCCACACAATCCAGGCGGTGGTGCTTACTCAGAGTGACGTATGAGGTTTCTTGCTTAGCCTTTGGCCACCAGGCCAGTGCCGCATAGGTGACAATCAGTTGTATCACTGTATTGAATGACCAATACTTTAGTTTCGGCGATATTCCCCAAAGTTTGCCATACGCATTTTAAGTCTTTCTAAAAGTTCGTTTACAACCAGTGTCCATAATAGGGGAGAAAGAACCCCCCTTGAGGGAAGCTAATGTGTCAGATACGAACCCCATGGCCTGATGTAGCAGTTATGAGTAAATAACATCTGGACCGAGGAATTTGTAGGCACTAGACGTTGAAGTAGCCCACCGCAACCTTACACTGGTAACAATTTTTCTTCAGTCACACTGCTTTGACAGTGTTCATGTTAGCACTTTGGCCTTGGATCTCGTGAACTCACAGCTGTACGCAGTTAGGGCTGATCTGTAGGTTAACTAGTCACCAGTCAGTTTGGCTCTGTTGAAAAGTTTCTTAGCCTTTCGACGAAGTTTAAGATTATTGTTCCACCAAGGAACGTTCTTTTGAGATTTCTTATTCTTCTTGGGCAGCTTGGTTCGAAGGGTGATGAGAGAGTATTCTGGATTATAGCGAATTTTACTTCCAGGTTATACGTGGATAAAATATCCGTCACATACAAGTTCCCCTCCTATTCTAACTGCAGGCGAAAGAGTTTGCAGTTTGTTTTCCTGAGATTCCTATAAATCTTGCTAGTTTATTTTGGGGTACTTACATATATCAAACCTAATGTGCTTATGATCTGACATAGACACCTCATTATATACGTGACAGTTCTGATAGCGTTTGTAAATCTCGGCTCATTACCCCAGTTAAGAATATACATTTGTTCTTAATAATATATTGAAGAAATAACTAACCTTTGCGACTAGTGTCTGAACTGCCCTCACTTGATGATGGGCGTTGAAATCACAGCCAGCACTAATTTCAGACATTTTTTCTTGCAGTACTCCTCTAGGGCTATTACTTCCCTTGTGGACACTTCGCAACTGTCCTCCGGAAGGTAGGCTGAGGCAAATACCACTTATTTCTTACCACCTGTGGTAGGTGTGCTGATCGAAAAACCTGGAATGGAAGATGACCACACGTTGACCGGTATCAGACAAGGGAGCTCTTAACACTGAGCAAGTCACATTTGTCTTTACTAGTGCCAGCTCGAATCGGTCATTGTCCTATCGGAATTCATGCTTTAAGGTTTAAGTACATTACCTCAAGTCCCTACTTCAGCAGCTGTAGGGAGGGTGATAAGGAGGAATCCTCCCGACATCTCCTACCCAGCTGTCCATCCTTCGATCTTACTTATTTATTGTGACCGAGCAGTTTTCAGGAATAGAAATTATATATGTATATGTACTATGTAGGAATGAATACACATCAAATATTTACTTTATGTATTTCCTAAGCGTTCAACATACATGTATGTACGTACAGTAGTGCCTATGTATGTACATCCTTTGTACTGCTACTTAACTTCCTGCCTTGTTTTGAAAAAAGAAAATGGTACTTGCCCACTGGCCCATCTAATTAACATTTTCTCTCCACATAAACATTTATATTTATATGCGTGCATACATATGTATTACTTACTCCGGTATAAACATACATAAATACATGCATACACATTTAAATGTATGGTTGTAGATGCATACATACATACATAGTACGTAGGTAATCATGCGTACATATGCGCGCCGCCTGTTTGCCGAATTAAGTGCAATTGCCGGGAATTTAATTTTATGCAAATAAAAGTTTGGATTAGAGCGTACACGCATGACGAGGCTATAAGATTATACATACATACTCGTGCATAGATATGAGTGTGCATTAGGGTGGTGCAAAAATGCTTGTAAAGTCGGAATTTTAATGCTCTCACCCCTAGGATTGTTCTATACCGAATTTCTACGAAAAGTTACTTTTTCCCCATATAAAAATACATGGAAAACTTTGAGCGCTTTGAGCGCTTTGAGCGACCTCTAAATGCTTTTTGATTTCAAAATTAAAAATAGGGGTATACTTTTTTCGATATGGAACAATCCTAGAGGGTGAGAGCATTACGATTCCGATTTTACTGTTTTTAGACCACCCTAGTGTTCATACATATAGTATGCATGTTTTGGGGCAACACGCGTATCTTTTTTACGCTTTTTAGTTGGAGGCGGTTGAAAAACGATAGGCAAGCAGATGCGTTTATTCCAAAATACATATGTACGAGTATGTACCCTGACGGAAGAAAGTGTTTCTTTTTTTAATCAACTAATTAGAAAACTACTTGGAAACAAATGCAGTGAGTAAATGTTTTGAAATTTTTGCTCAAAGAAACAATTTGTGTCTTGGAAGTATAAAAAAGCATATTTGAAGTGCAGTGCGAAAGCGTACACAAACGAAACATACTGACTTTGAAGCTAGTTAAGCCAAATGCATTTTAAAGTAATTGAAATCAAATGCAGAGTCGGATAATTGACTGCTTCATAAGACATCGCCATGTTAAATAAATCAGTTCATGATAATTTCAATTAGTTATTATTGAAAAGAAAATAATTGAAAATGCATTCAAATTAATTAAATTTCCTGCAGGGTAGCCACACTCATACGCAAATAAAAGTTGTACACATCGACATACATATGTACAGCTTTGGTCAAAGATTTAGCATCAAAATTCATAATAATATTATTTTGCAACTTATATTTATTAACTCATTTTATCTGATTAAAAAGTTTAAAACTTCGATGACGATTTTTTGAAGTTTCATTAATTTTNTTGGTTCGAAATATTTGGCCATAGCTGTATATGTACACATTTGAATGTATGTATGTACATTAATTTAACATATTTTTCTCATAGGGGTAATGAATGAGCAATCTAGTACATCAACGGGAGAGTTGTTAAATGTGCGTATATAATTACATGGAAGTACTGCGCATAAAAAGCATAATGTAGGCCACTCAAAAGGAATTTGGCACAAGTGGTATTAATTTTACTTGGAGGAGAATGCATTCGGCATACTGTTTCAAATTATTCTACACCTATGATGAGCATCCGCATCAGATTTTCTACGAATCATGTCATTAAGTACTTTCCCTGCTACCATTTTATTACGAGTGTACAACAATTAATACATTAGTGCATACATACATGTGTATATATATGTACTTTCATACCCATATTTTATTACAATCAAGCTTGTATATTTAGATTCCTACTGATGTAGCATGTATTTAAACGAAGCATAACCTCATTAATTGAATCTTTTGAAAAGGGTTTATGGAATTACATACATGCGTACGTACACTCGGAATGACCCGGTTTTAGATATAAAACAAATTAAGTGTATTTAATTAAAAAAAAATTGGAAAAATTGGAGGCCAGTCATTTCATTAAAGTGTTTAGAAAGTATTTTGTTTAAAATCAATTTGT